AATTCCACTCTCAGCTGGACAGTCAGCTTTCCATAACCTGACCCCAGACCTTTCTCATCCCATCTGCTACTCCCCCTACATACTCCGTACAATAACTATCTCCCACGGCTTCTTCTGGAGAATTTCATGTTCTCCCTAACATTGTGCCTGTGTGTGGTCTCCCCAAGATGTGCTTCTTGCCATTTCCCAATTTGCCAAAATCCTTTTAATCTCTGGCCTTCTCAGGTAACCCTTCTCCCTCTTCATGATCAAATTCATTCTGTTCTGGGTCTTTATGTAACAATTTGTGCATCTATATATTTTCTCTGAGAGATTGTAAGCCTTTTGAAGGTCAATAAAGTGGCTTATCATTGGTTCACTTTATAAATACTGAATTTCTACAAAATGCCAGGCTCTATCTCAATTTACAGTTATTATCTTGGCAGCACCTACCACAGTGGTTGGCAGATACTAATTAAAATGAGTCTTTAGGTCTGGCTTTGAGAGTATCAAACCTGTTGGTATCAGGTAAGACCATGCATAAAATTTCAAATAATGTTGTAAATCTAGTTGTTTTACAAATATGTTTAAAAGCATTGTTTACTTTTTATTTTTGTGCTTTAGTCAAAGAAAAAAGGATTGAGCGCAGAAGAAAAGAGAACTCGCATGATGGAAATATTTTTTGAAACAGTAAGTCATTTTCTTTAATGCTTTTATAATTTTGTGTAATTATCACCTTAAACATATGTCATTCAGTGTTAACTGTCCCTTTGTTATACGTCAGTACTGATCAATTTCTTGAAGAAAGGGCAAGATTCTGTGAACATTTGTGGTTCCTGTGAGTTATGGAGTACAAAAAACCATATCCCACTGTTGGTAGAGTCTCTTTCACCCAAGCAGTCCTGCATACTGGCACCAGAATCTTCTGATGCGTATATTTGATTGTCTCCCCTCTCTGCCTGAAAATAATAATGATGAAAGCCCACATCTCCTGAGTGCTGCCTAGGTGCCAATCAGTCTTGTATCTCAAACAATAGAAGCCACAGATCCAGGATTCAAACCAGGGAGGATCATTTGATTTCAGAGGGATTAAAAAATACTAGTCTTTGCATTTTAAGTCTGTCTGTAGTATAACACATAGTTGATGGTACACGGTCCTCCTTAATTTATTCCAGATATTTGTGCCTGCCACCAACAGGAAATATGTTTAAAATGTCAACTCCTAAGTGACAGAGCCAGAGTTTAAACCCAGGTACCTGGCTCTAGAGCCTCATCTCTCATGACTTTACCATGTTGCTGGAAGGCTTTTCTTTGTCTTCAGGTTAAAGACCACATAAATCTTTGACCTAAAAAAACACTAACTTCATATGGCTTGGCAGGACCTGCAAAGCCGAGATGGCCCCAGTCTGCTGGCTATTTTCATCATCATCAGATGTGAACAAGATGGGGAAAAGTGGTAAAATTGAATATTAAATTGATAAAATCCGTTTCACTTTAAGGCATATTCTTAGTAAAACAAGCAAAATACACTGCGGATTTGCCCACTGAGTATAATCTTACTGTTCTTAAAAGTCATTGGCAGTTCAGAGCAGGGTATCATATGATGATGATATACACGTAGTTAGGAACATAAATTGGTGAAGTCTGTATGTGAAAATTATGGCAATTCTTCTGCTGAGTTGAAATATTTTTCCTATGGTCCCAGCAAGAAAAGGAGGTTTAATTCCTGCAAGACAGTAGAATGCTGAGGAGAGTGGTTGGGGAAATTATTTTTTCATTTACAATATTGTTAATTATCGCAAATATAAAAATTGGCTGTTTCTGACTGAAAAATTTTAAACCTTGTCCTCAGTAACATCAAGACATGAGAGACTCTGAGGATCAGCAGTTTAAGGAAGTTCAGTAATCAGTGAGTTTTTCCCTAAACTTGGGAATTAATTGTACTGATTGATTCAGTTCATAATTCCTATTTCTTTTTTTCATTGTAGCCTACTCAGTTGTTGCCCATTTATTTAGTCTATCAGTTTTTTGATGGACTTGAAAAGTGTAAGAGATTTGGGAAAAGTAATGGAGGCCATTTCATTTGTTCCCTCATGAATGGGATATGGTATATCCAGGATCCAGACTGATGTCAAAAGTTGATAAATACTAGATTTGCTTCAACGTGTCAAAGCAAATCAACAGTAATGGTGCAGAGTGAACAGCATGGATTCTAGAATTCAGATTCTGGAATCTGAATTCTAATTTCATTGTTGCAATTGGCAAGTAAAAATTCAAACAGAATCAAATACGGCTACTCAAGGATTTGTTACAGAATTTGACTTTCTTTAGTTGTCAGTAGTAGCCCCCTTTTTAAGACTAATGTCATGGGAAAATGCATGTGTTAAGTAGAAAATGTACAATATAAAAAATGCATGATGACAAATATTAACAATGATAAGATACAGGTGGATTTTGTTTTACATTCTTTTCTCAGTTACCTACAGTGAGCAAATATTACCTTTTTGATCAAATTAGAAAATCAACTAATGAAGCACCACATACTATATTGTCTCTAATCATAAGTGGGCCATCTGCGAGGTTTTGGAAACCTTTTAAAAACATAGTTATTGGTAATAGTGACAACCCATGGAGAGGATAAGAACGTTCAGAGACTATTTGAGGCACAAAATAGCCACCAATGAATGTGTTGAGCTTTTTAAAAAATTACTTCAGCAAAGACTTAAATGAGTAGCTTTCCATTGGCATACAAATCTCTGGAATGGCCATGTTTATTTCAGATAATTTACTATAAATATGTAAATGGAGAAAAAGAGACATAGATGTGATCATGTATGGGTAGATAGATGTATGCGTGTATGTGTGAGAGAGAGAGAGAGTGTGTGTGTGTGTGTGTGTGGAGCTGCTAATGTAATAACAGGAATTCTTTGCTCATTGCACTTAGGAAAAACATGAGAACAGTATATAGCTCCATAATTGAAAATGTGCATCTGGAGCCTGTTGTACTCGATAGCTTTGTGATCTTTAAGCAAGTTTCTTGACCTCTCTATGTCTCAGTTTCTTCTTCTCTTAAAGAAGATGATAATAATAGTACCCAGCTCACAATGTTGGTATGGGGGTTAAATAAGATAATATGAATAAAATGTTAAAACATAACCATGTCTAGGTCGTAAGTGCTTTATTAAATGTTATCTAGGGGGCCAGGTACCATGGCTCACACCTGTAATTCCAACATTTGGGGAGACCAAAGCAGGAGGATCTGTTGAGCCCAAGAGATTGAGGTTGTAGTGAGCCATGACCACACTTTGTCACCCAGGCATGCTAACGTGGGTGACAGACTAAGAACCTGTCTTTAAGAAAAACAGAACAGTATTATCTAGGATTATATGTATTCCGTGGTATCTTACACATAGTTCTTTTTACATTGTCTTAATCTCTCCTTCATTATCTCTGCTTAATGCCGGGGAGTCTAAGAACTAAGATTTACCTGAGATCATTTGCTCTGTCCACTTCAGTGACCACACTTGAGTTCTGAGGCTAGTTCTTTCTAAGCCTATTTATTTACACAGCAGCTCCATTGGGGCAGCCAGTACACCTGGGGTTCTTCCTTGATGACTGTGTTTAGGCAGATATCTCAGTGGTTCATGTTCTTTTTCTAGGGAATTTCAAATATTTGCAAAGAGGTTTGATTAACTGATTTCTCTAATGCATTAGAGACTTAAAATCAGTAATTAATTACAGGTTCCCTGAGATTCTAAAGTATTATCTTTAAAAAATTTATTTTTGGATAAGCAAAAATTGATCTGATACTCTAAGTCCAATGACTTAATATTTTCCTAAATTTTACTAACTCTTAGGCGTAGCGAGATGTTTTTCAACATTTTATTATGAAAATTTTCAAACATACAGCAAAGATGAGTTTTTCCGTGAATACCAATATCCCTGCCACCTAGATTCTACCATTCATATTTTATTCTACTGGCTTTATTATATATATATATATTCATCTATCCACTTATCTATCAGCTCTTTTCTTTTTTTAATGTACTTCAAAAAAGTTCTTTATATGTCTATATCCTGGGTACCAGGCCTTTTTCAGGTATATGTTTTGTGATGATTTTAATCTAGTTAATATTTGCCATTTCATTTTCTTAACAGTGCCCTTGGATGAGCAGAAGTTTTAAATTTTTATGAAGTATAATTTCTATCCAATTGCAATTGCCTTTTCAACTTTATTTTGGAAGAACTGTATCCCAAATTTTTCATAACAATAATTAAAATATTTCTGGGGTTTTGTCGTTATCGTTGTTGTTGAGATGGAGCTTGGCTCTGTCACACAGGCTGGAGTGCAGTGGTGCCATCTCAGCTCACTACAAACTCTGCCTCCCGGGTTCAAGTGATTCTCCTGCCTCAGCCTCCTGAGTAGCTGGGATTACAGGCATGTGCCACCACGCCCAGCTAAATTTTATATTTTTAGTAGAAATGGGGTTTCACCATGTTGGTCAGGCCGATCTCAAACTCCTGACCTCGTGATCTGCCTGCGTCAGCCTCCCAAAGTGCTGGAATTACAGGAGTAAACTACCGCACCCAGCCAAGTTTTTTTTTTTTTTTCCTGGCCATAAGATTTAAATATTCTACATGCTTATTTTCCCTTAATGTTTTGCTTTGCATATGGTGGACATGCAACATGTATATGTGAATGATTGATAGGCAGCCATGAATTGTATAATTTTCCTATTTAGGTATAGCTCTTCCACAAAACCTTAAAAGTAAATATTGACAGATACATGTTTTGCTTTTAGTTGGAATTGCTAAATCTGTACAGTGTGATACGTGTTAAGCAAAGTACTGTCAGTGTTTTCTTAAAATCGAAGTGTCAGAGAAAGTAATTAGTTCCTATTACCAAGTGATCTGGTATAACTAGGTTGGTGTTTTTTTGTTGTTGTTTTTGTTTTGTTTTGTTTTTTTAGATGGTCTGCCCAGGCTGGAGTATAGTGGTACAATCAATCATAGCTTACTGCAGCCTCGACCTCACAGCCTCAAGCTTTTCACCCTCCCCAGCCTCCCACGTATCTAGGACTACAGGCATGCACCACCACACCCAGCTAATTTTTTTATTTTGTAGAGATGCGGTGGGGGAGTGGTCTCACTATGTTACCCAGGCCGGTCTCCGGCTCTTGGGCTCAAGCATTTCTCCCAAAGTGCTGGGATTACAAATGTAAGACCACTGTTCCTGGACTGTAACTAGTTTCTGTACTTAAGTGGGAAGACATTCTTCATGTTCTGATCTCCAAGAACTGTAAAGAATCATATGCTACTGGCTAAGCACGGTGGCTGCTCTCTGTAATCCTAGCACTTTGGGAGGCTGAGATGGGAGGATTGTTTAAGCCCAAAAGTTCAAGACCAGCCTGGGCAAAATGGTGAGACCCTGTCTTTAAAAAAATTTTTTTAAATTAGCCAGGCATGGTGGTGTATGTCTATAGTCCCAGCTACTCAGGAAAGAGTATTGTTGAGCCCTGGATGTCAAGGCTGAGCCATGATCATGTCACTGCACTCCCATCTGGACGATAGAGTGAAATCCTGTCTCAAAAAGAAAAAAAAATTGTGTGTGTATACAAAAATCTCTTCAAGTTCTAGTGAGGGTATTGAATGAGATAATTGAAGAGTTTCTTATAACCTCTAAAATGCTTAGTTCTATTATACTGTTCATTTCCAGGCCAATTTTTTAAATATAATTTTTTATGAACATAAAATTATGGTATATATGTAAATATATAGTAGAACACAGTAGGTGACTATAGTTAACAATAATATGTTGTATATTTTAAAATATTAAGAGTGGAATTGGAACGTTTCTAACACAAAGAAATGATAAGTGTTTGAAGGGATGTATACCCTAATTACCCCGATTTGATCAAAACACATTGTATACCTATATCACGATATCACACATACCCTGTAAATGTATACAACTATTATGTACCCATAATACAAAATTTTTAAAAAGAAAATATAGTAGAAAATAACACAGGCTTTTTCATTTTTTATAACCCTTTTAAACAGAAAGATGTATTTCAATTAAAAGACTTGGAGAAGATTGCTCCCAAAGAGAAAGGCATTAGTAAGTACCTAAGTTATACTGGGATGTTTTGGGAAATATCCGTCATCTTTTCTGCAACAGTCTTTCATTCATTTCATTTTATGGAAAACCTAGATTTCTAGAGATAAATCATCACCAGTTACCTACCATCCAAAGATAACCACTGTCATGTTGTCCTTTATTTTTTTGTATAATACATCCTGTATAATACATTTTGAATGTATATCTCTGTCATTAAATATCCTTTTATAACATAAATGACTATATAATATCTCATTGCAAAAAAATACTTTTAAAAATCCAGTTGATAAGCTGGGTGTGGTAGTACACATGCCTGTAGTCCCAGCCACTCTGGAGGCTGAGGCAAGAGATCACTTCAGCCCAGGTAGGCAACATAGCAAAATCCTGTCTTTAGAATAAAAATCCAGTAATTGGACTGGTTTCCAGTTTTTGTTTTTGTTTTTTTATTGAAAACAATGCATTGACAGGCATCCTTCTGTATATCTATTATTTTGTTTGGCTATATTTATAAGGTGGAATTTCTCCATAAAAGATATGTATAAATCTAAAGTTTTAGAGATATATTGCCACATTTCTCCACCCATACTGAGAGTACCCATTTCCTTGCATTCTTTATTGTATTTTTTAGTGTTTTTAATTTGGCAGTCAAATCTAATTGCTTTATTTTGCATTTCTTCAGTTATTAGTGGAGTTGAACATTTTTCTCATATATTGGCCATGCATATTTTATTTTATTTTATTTTTATTTATTTTTTTGAGATGGAGTCTCCTCTGTTACCCAGGCTGGAGTGCAGTGGTGTGATCTTGGCTCACTGCAACCTCCGCCTCCCAGGTTCAAGCAGTTCTCCTGCCTCAGCCTCACGAGTAGCTAGGATTGCAAGCACCCGGCACCATGCCCAGCTAATTTTTGTATTTTTGGTAGAGATGGGGTTTTGCCATGTTGGCCAGGCTGGTCTCAAACTCCTGACCTCAAGTGATCCACCTGCCTTGGCCTCCCAAAGTGCTGGGATTACAGGTGTGAGCCACCATGCCCAACCACAATGCATATTTTATAGATGCACATTGATGTCTGTGTCTTTTGCTGTGTTGTTTCAAAATGAAAAAAAACCTCTTTTATTATGAGTGTACATATAAATGAAACTAGATGACCTCTAAGAGTCCCTCACACTTTCATGTACACGACACAATTATTCTGTCTTTACAGTCATCAGTGAACAATTGGTTGTGCTACTTCTTAAAGATGTGCAAATTTCTTAAGTTTAAATACACAGTTGACCCTTGAACAACACCGCATTGTTGGAATATTGGGATACCAATCCCTCACACAATTGAAAATCTGCATGTAACTTTTGACTACCCCACAACTTAATTACTGATAGCCTGCTGTTGACAGGAAGTCATATCGTATGTTTGCTATTCATTAAGTGGCAGTGGATCATCATAAAGGTACTTCATCCTTGTCATGTTACATTGAGTAGGCTAAGGAGGAAGAGAAGGAGGAAGTGGTATTGCTATCTCAGGTGGCAGAAAATCCATGTGTAACTGGACCCGTGTAATTCAAACCTGTATTGTGCAAGGGTCAACTATACAGTATTAATTACACCAGTGTCCTAAGGTCCCCACACAGATTGTAGGTAACGGAATCTCAACTGTATCTTGAAGGATCAAAAACAAAAAACAAAATTCAATACAGTCTATAAGCTGGAAACACATATTTAAAAAATTTATACTAACTAAATTCCTTTTCTTCTTACCTATTTTCCTCCCAGTTATTGACAATTTTTTTCTGCCATATAAGATGATAGCCAAATTACCCGACATCTTAAAAAAAAAACATTATTTAGAAAAGGAAAAATACCATATAGCAACAGACTATAAGTGTTAACACTATTAAAATTATTTGCTGAGCACTAATGCTAGATCTTCTATTACTACATAATCTACTGGGGGAGAAAAACTTGCATTTCTGTACTTTTGTTTTACTTTTTCAAAGACTTTTATTGATATTATCAATATACACCAAAGTAGGTATGGAAATGATATCCAATAGATTTTAAAAATTAGGAATAAAGAGGCCGGGCGCGGTGGCTCAAGCCTGTAATCCCAGCACTTTGGGAGGCCGAGGCGGGTGGATCACAAGGTCAAGAGATCAAGACCATCCTGGTCAATATGGTGAAACCCCGTCTCTACTAAAAATACAAAACATTAGCTGGGCATGGTGGCGTGTGCCTGTAATCCCAGCTACACAGGAGGCTGAGGCAGGAGAATTGCCTGAACCCAGGAGGCAGAGGTTGCGGTGAGCCGAGATCGTGCCATTGCACTCCAGCCTGGGTAGCATGAGTGAAACTCCGTCTCAAAAAAAAAAACAAACAAAAAAAAAAAAAAATTAGGCATAAAGAACAGTTTGCTTTAGAATCATCCAGTGTTAAAGCTAAGAGTTAGGATTAGAACCCAGGTCCTATTCTTAATCCTGTATACTACCTATTTTCCCCTAAGCTCCTGTATACAGTCATGCTTTGCCTAAGGATGGGGATACATTCTAAGAATTGTTTCCTTAGGCAATTTCATTGTTGTGCCATGTTGTTATTTTTAAGAGTTTCTTATTTATGAACTTTTTAACTCTTGATTTGTCATATTTTTTGCAAGTGTTTCCCCAGTTTTAAAATTTGTCCTTTAAATTTTATTTATGGTGTTTTTTAACATAGAGTCTTTAAAAATTATCTCTTAGCTTCTATGTCAGTAAAAGAAGTCCTTCAAAGCTTAGTTGATGATAGTATGGTTGACTGTGAGAGGATCGGAACTTCTAATTATTATTGGGCTTTTCCAAGTAAAGCTCTTCATGCAAGGAAACGTAAGTTGGAGGCTCTGGAATCTCAGGTAAGCTGCCATAGTTAAAAATAATAGATTTGCTTTATTACAGAGAGTTGTTTTACTTCATCCTCTTTCCATTTAGCAGTTTCTTTTAAATTTTTAGCATGCATTATTTGACTGAAAGTTTAAAGATAATCAACACCTCTTTCTCCCAAACAATATAAGGCTTTAGAACGTTTTAATTTTCATCTTCCCGTATGTCAAGGTACTGTTTTTGTTGCTATTTCTATTGTTTTGTTTTTGAGACAGAGTTTTGCTCTTGTTGACAAGGCTGGAGTGCAATGGCACGATCTCGGCTTACTGTAACTTCCGCTTCCTGGGTTCAAGCAGTTCTCCTGCCTCAGCCTTCCAAGTAGCTGGAATTACAGGCATGTGCCACCATGCCTGGCTAATTTTGTATTTTTTTTAGTAGAGATGGGGTTTCACCATGTTAGTCAGGCTGGTCTTCAACTCCTGACCTCAAGTGATACACCTGCCTTGACCCCCCAAAGTGCTGGGATTACAGGTGTGAGCCATTGCACCCAGCCTTTTATTGTTTTTTAATTTTCTCTTTTTCAATAGATGGTTTTTTGGGAACAGTTTTAGATATACAGAAAAAAATTTGATGGAAAAGTATGGAGAGTTCCCAAACATGTGCCCTTTTTCCCTCACCATGCACACAATTTTCCCTATTATTGACATCCTATACTAGTGTAATATGCTTGTTACAATTGAGCCAGTTTTGATTTAGTGTTAACTAAATTCCATAGCTTACATTAGGGTTCAGTCTTGGTGTTATACATTATGTGAGTTTTGACAAATGCATGATGATGAGTAGCCACAGTTACAGTATTGTACAGAATAGTTTCACTGCCCTAAAAATCTGCTCTTCCCCACCTATTCCTCCCTGCCTTCTCCTGAAACCCTAGCAACCACTGGTCTTTTTACTGTCTCTGTAATTTTACCTTTTCCATATAATTGCAATCATACAGTATGTAACCTTTTCAGATTGGCTTCTTTCACTTAACAATATGTATTTGAGGTTTCTCCATGTCTGTTGGTGGCTTGATAGCTCATTTCTTTTTATTGCTGAATAATATTTCATTGTATGAATATAACACAGTTTGTTTATCCATTGAGGCATTGAGGAACATATGGGTTGCATCCAAGTTTGGGCAGTTACAAATAAAGCTGCCATAAACATTTGAATATAGGTTTTGTATATATATAAGCTTTCAGCACATTTAGGTAAATACCAATGAATATGATTGCTGGATTGTATGGTAAGTATATGTTTACTTTCTAGGAAACTGCCGAAGTATCTGTTTTTACTTTCCCAACTACAATGGGTAAGAGTTACTATTGGTTCACATCATTGCCAGGATTTGGTGTTGTTAGTGTTTTGTATTTTAGCCATTCTAATAGATGCATAGTGGTATCTCATTGTTGTTTTAAATTGCCATTCTCTAATGACATACGATTTGGGACATCTTTTTTTTTTTTTTTTTTTTTTTTTTTTTCTTTTTTTCTTTCTTTTCTTTTTTTTTTTTTTTTTTTTTTTTTTCTTTTTTTTTTTTTTTTTTTTTTTTTTTTTTTTGAGATAGAGTTTCACTCTTTTTGCCCAGGCTAGAGTGCAATGGCGCTATCTTGGCTCACTGCAACCTCTGCCTCCTGGATCAAAGTGATTCTCCTGCCTAGCCCTCTGAGTAGCTGGGATTACAGGTGCGTGTCACCACGCCTGGCTAATTTTGTACTTTTAGTAGAGGCGGGGTTCACCATGATAGGCGAGCTGCTCTCAAACGCCTGACCTCGGGTGATTCATCCACCTTGGCCTCCCAAAGTGCTGGGATTACAGGTGTGAGCCACTACACCCGGCTCTGGAGCATCTTTTTTTATGCTTATTTGTCATCTGTGTAAAAGGAGGTATTTAAATCTTTTGCCCGTTTTTTAATTGGGTTTTTTGTTTTCTCATTATTGAATTTTAAGAGTTCTTTGTATATTTTGGACACCAGGTCTTTATCAAACATGTATGTTTCAAAGATTTTCTCTGAGTCTGTGGATTTTGTCTTTTCATTATCTTAACAGCCCCTTTCACAGGGAAGTTTTCAATTTTAATGAAGTCCAACTGATCAATTTTTTTCTTTCCTGGGACATTCTTTCAGTGTTGTAGCTACAAAGTCATGGCCAAACACAAGGACATGTAGATTTTCTCCTATGTTATCTTCTAGAAGTTTTATAGTTTTGAGTTAATTTTGGGGAAAGGTATAAAGTGTGTCTAAATTCAATTTTTTGTACATGCATGTCCAGAGTAACTGTATTTTAGTATAATGTACTCTGTGTGTGTGTGTGTGTGTGTGTGTGTGTGTGTGTGTGTGAGAGAGAGAGAGAGAGAGAGAGATAGAGAGAGAGAGAGAAAGAGACAGGATCTTGAGAGAGAGAAAAAGAGAGAGACAGGGTTTTGCTTTGTCACTCAGGCTGGAATATAGTGGTGCAAACATGGCTTACTGTAGCCTCGATCTCCCAGACCCAATCGATGCTCCTGCCTCAGCCTCCTGAGTAGCTGGGATTATAGGCACACCAGCACACTCGGCTAATTTTTGTACTTTTTTGTAGAGACAGGGTTTTGCCATGTTGCCCAGGCTGGTCTTGAACTCCTGAACTCAAGTGATCCACCCACCAAAGTGCTTGTGGGTGAGTCCCTATGACTAGCCTATAACCCTATGCACTTTATGAATTTTAAAACATTTCAAGAAGGAATCCAAACTGAAGGACATCCTTTAGTTATTTGTTGATCCAGAGTTTAAGAGTTATAAACTCTCAATCATTGTTTGAAAATGTCTAATTTACCATTGCTTATTGAATATAGAATTCTTAGTTATTTTTCCTCAGCATTTTGAAAATATTACTTCCTTGTCTTTTGGCATATGTTGCTAATGAGATGTTTTGCTGTCATTCTGATTGTCTTATTTTCCTTAGTAATCTCTCTTCTGTTTAACATTTCCTTCAGTAGTTAATGTTATATTTTGATATTGTTTTATCATGAATCCGAGTTTACATGTTTTAATTTCCTCTGCTTTAGGACTCTGGCTAGCTGCTTCCACGTAATGATTAAAGTCTTCTATTATAGAAAATTCTAAGGTGGTATTAAACTGTTTCCTGTTCCCTAATAGCGCTGTTCTTTCCTTCTGGGATTCCTATTTGTATCCTCATTCTATCGTCTATGTTGTTTAAGCACTCTTTTTATTTTTCCTTTTATTTTTCCATGTCTTTCCATGTCTGTGATTCATTTCAGTTAATTTTCTCAGCTCTCTTTCACTTACAGTTTTTTCTGTAACTATTTCTAATCTGCTACTTAACTGTTCATTGAGTCTTTTTATTTCAATAATTAGATTTTCTCTCTAGAAATTCTATCTGGTCCTTTTCAGTTCTGTTTATTCTGTTTTTCCTGCAGTGTTCTATTTCATTATGGCTTCTATTACTTTTACCTCTTTTATAACTTGAAATATACTGATACGGCTCGAATCTGTGTCTTCTCCCAAATCTCATGTCAAATTGTACTCCCCAGTGTTGGAGGTGGGGCCTGATGGCAGGTGATTGAATCATGGGGGCAGCTTCTCATGAATGGTTTAGCACCATACCTCAGTGCTATTCTTGTGATAGTGAGTGAGTTCTCAGGTGATCTGGCGCTAAGTGTGTAGCACCTCCCACCTCTCTCAGTCCTGCTCCTGCCATGTAAAACACCTGCTCCCATTTCTCCTTCCACCCTGAGTAAAAGATCCCTGAAGTCTCCCCAGAAGCAGAAGCTGCCATGCTTCCTGAAGAGCCTGCAGAACCATGAGCCAATTAAACCTCTTTTCTTTATAAATTACCCAGCCTCAGGTATTTCTTTATAGCAATCTGAGAACAGCCTAATACACATGCTTAATTTATATTTTCAAGATTACTTAAATATGTCAAATTTGGGGAGGGCTATTAGTTTGATCTGTGTATCTGCTGGCTACTACCATTCATAGTGTTTTTTTAAACCTGTATGTTTTTATTTTTTATTTATGAGCTCACATTCAATTGGTTATGTTTAGTCTGTGGGAGCCACAGGTGCTCTGTGAAATAGTGGTTTCAGGCTTGTTTTTTTAGAGTCTCTGGGTATTTAGTAGTTATGGACCAATTTTTATGTTAATTTCTTGGCCTACAGTTCCAGTACCTCGTATTTTATACAGCATGAGTACTGTATAAAATTTAGTATGCACATTTGTGCATAGCACGGTTCGAGAGATTTGTTTTCCTGTAGGTGACTTTCCCCCACCCACCCCCACATGAAGTGCAAGATGAAGGTAAGCTCCTTGTTATTTTTCATGGAGTTTGCTGGTACTTTGAGTTACATGCTGGAACACAGTTCTAGCTCTCCTTGTCTCATGGCCCTTCACACCTGCTTTCCTGGTGTGCCTGTTAGACTCGTAGCCCCTAGTCACCAGTGCTGGTATCAGGTCTAACTTCCTTGGGCAATAGAACATCACCTTTCTATTGTTGCTCTTTGTGTTTTCTCTCATTTCTGTCACCTGAGGATAGTTCTTCCCTTTTTTTTTTTTTTTTTTTGAGGTGGAGTCTCAGTCTGTTGCCCAGGCTGGAATGCAGTGGCACGATCTTGGCTCACTGCAACTTCCTCCTCTCGGGTTTAAGCAATTTTCCTACTTCAGCCTCCCAAGTAGCTGGGATTACAGGTGCCTACCACCACACCTGGCTAATTTTTATATTTTTAGTAGAGACAGGGTTTTAGTAGAGACAGGAGTTCAAGACCACATTGGCCAGGCTTGAACTCCTGACCTCAGGTGATCTGCCTGCTTCAGCCTCCCAAAGTGCTGGGATTACAGGCATGAGCCACTGAGCCTGGCCTTGTTTTATTTTTTATTGATCATTCAATAGACTGTTTTGCATGTTTTTTGAGTAACAGAAGATGTGCTGGATTTTGGAAACACATGCCTTCAGAGAGCTTGCAGTCAGCTTGGGAGGACAGTGGGAGAAAAGGAACA